TCTTGCCTTTCCTTGGAGGGTTAAACGTTAATGACCCTTGACTGAAAGGTTAGGACAAGTGGTTTCGTAAGTTGATTATCATGCTTACAGGCTTATATTTCATTATCTCAACCATACTTATTTACGGACCTAGGCAGTCTTGGTCAAAGATTTTCTTTTGCGTCATTAGGTCTTGAGGATCAGAACCGGAGATTTAACCTTTGACAAGTCTGATTTAGGAACCGTATTGCATATAGACGCTAACACTCACAAATATACATACTTATACAATCAAGTGGAAATAACAGAATCAGTATGAAAGAAAATTAACCAAACCACTCTATATCGATCTATTTAGGTTTTTAATTTTTAATTTTTGACTCGATTAAGTGTATATAAGAAGTAAGATAGAGCTGGATAGTGTTCTTGCCCTTGTGTTTACGTGAGACTTTTACAAGAATGACACCCAGCTCTGATGATGTTCATCAAATGATGGACGAAAGCTTAGCACGTTTTCACCTGAAACGAGGCAGGAAGTCTCGTGGACTGCGTCAACATATCGGCTGCAATACAGCGAGATTCATCCGTCCTCATCTGGTGAGATCGACCTACGAATCTCTTCTTCATGCACTTTCATTCGAAATGAAGGTCCCATTAAAAAGGTCTCAAACTAGTAGGTTTGCTGATTATGGTACATCTGTTGTTAAAAAGAAGATAGAAAAGGCCATTGTAATTACTGGATTATGAAATACGTTGAATGTAAGGAACGGTGATAGAAAGTTGAGTAAGAACTATTTGTGCCGCCATCCAAAAGAAGGCGACTCAACTTGTCTGGTCAGTAACGGTTCTAACTCCACTCACACTCGTCCAACATGTTAGATTAACCTCATCAACCAAACCAGACGCACCGGATTACGTATCCCCAGTCATATTGGGGATTGACCTCAACTCCACTTCATTTCTCCCATTTGCCTATTCCCACAATTCTGTCCTCCAATGTCGCCTTAAAGTGGAACAAGACGAAACAAGCGGATTCAGTGAGGCATAATCATCCCCACCACCGGTTCCAGATGCCGTTTGTAAGGCTTACGAGTTTCATTCAGCTCCTCTTAAACCCCGCTTGTCAATTGGTCACTGCTACACATCAAAATCCCTGTCTGCTGTCTGAAATCTGGCTTCCTATGATCCTTCAAGTCCAGCCCCCGTTTACGTCATATTCGGGGATTTGAGCCGGTGATGTCCATGCCTGGGCTTCAGACCCATCACCCACAAATCCTCTTTCTCATCCTCAACCCCATTGTATCTTATTTTGTGGTGCCCTGTGTCCGGCCTAATTCGTAAACGCCGGTGTGAAAATTCACTATTATCCTTTCCTATTCCTGAATCGAGTGAAGCACACTCTTGTCTCCCAAGTTGCCAGTCCTATCTAAGCCTAGGAAAATGGTAAATAATTAAT